CCGAGCGATTCTGTGATTCTGTGAAGTTGCCTTTTCTCTTTATTTTAGTACTGATCTTTAGGGACGCTCTGAATTCAATACTAGAAATTACTTATTTAGTACAAGAAATCAGCATCAGTTTTGTACCATTTTGAATTCACCTCTGTCTTTTTCATCTGGGGTTTAAATTACCCCCACCTTTCAAAGGGCACAGCCCGTACTCCCGACGTTTGTTTTTAGGGGCAGTTCTTGGCTGTGCGGGCATTGGCCAGAGCGCGCTGCCTTGGACCGCTGCCATCGCCACATTTAAGCCAGGTCTGTCCTGTTAAAAGACCGGAGGGAGACGCCGTCTCAGAGTCACTGGTGAGTGAGTTCTTTTCCAAGGTAGGATATTGTGCTTTCTTCAGCCTAAAGGTGGGAGCTAATCAAGCTTAGAGCTGCTCTGCTTCTGGACAAGGGCTTCCTGAGGAAAAAAAGACTTTTTGCCTGCTTTTATCCCCCCACCTTTTAAATGACACCTTTTGATTTCTGAAAATAGCCTCCCAGTTGCTGCAGTTTGTCACACAAATGTGATTTTAGGTGGCTGGAGTGAAAGGAGAATAGGTGGTGTGTAGGGTAACTCTCGTGGTTTTGGTTTCTTTTCGGACTTGATCTCATCTTTGCTGCCTTTAGTGCTCTCTTGACCTTCTTAACTAAGATCCTCATTCCTCCAGAAATCATTGTCCTGGCTTTTACAGGATAACCTACAGGTTTTATTTTAAGGGGGAAGGTTTTTCAACTGGATATATTATTTCTTTCACACTATGCCTTTCCAAAAGTGTCCGCTCGCCCGTATTTGCTGACAGTATCAGTGTTCTGGTCTGAGCAGCCGGGTGCTGTGCTCATGCACCGCTTTGCAAAGGTCTGAGTTTAATCCCTCTTTTGGGTTTCTGATCTCCCACTCTGGGCACGCTCCTTGCGCCCGGGGCAGGTTTTGCCCTGGATGTCTCTGTGCATTATGCACCGGGTATTGCACAGTGAAGTACTTTGTAGATACACGAGTTAGGACTGAGAAGCTCCACAGTACCTTGAGAAGAGCTGTGTACTAACTTGATGGGTTTATTTTTAGACTGTCAAGCTCATTTAGTGCTAGCTCAGCTATCTTGATGTGTTATTTTATTGCGTTCTAGCTACACCTCCAGAAATATTTCTTTTATCCAGTTCACAACTGTTTCAGCAAGCTAGTCCGTTCACTCACCAGCTGCTGGAGGAATTCTGTCCCAGTCCCTGATGGAAATCTGGAAGAGCCTGACATTTTCCACATCAGCTCTGTTCCACGCCATGTAGAGCCTCTCTCATCCCTTCAGCTTCATGCAAGCTCAGTCCTACGTAATAAAACTGAATTCTGGCTTAGCATGATTTATTACCTCTTGTTTTCCACTTCTCATGCTGTCCTTTTGTTTGAACTAGGGTAGCAGTTGTGTGCCCAGACCTTTCCAGTGTCTTCCTGGTACAGACCCATCCTGCAGGTCAACCTGCAAGAGTTCAGACTCTATCGGCGCAGCAGGGAAGATGCATCAATATTTGGGTTTGACTTTATGTGTGACCCCAAAGCTGTACAGACTCCAGGAAGGGGTTGTTACTGACTTTACTGTGCCATCAAGCATAAAAGCTTGGGGGTATGTACAGTGGGAAAATCAGTGACCTTTTTTAAAGCAGAGGTATCACTCTTCAACCACGTAGTAAGCTGTAACATAAACTATTCCCTTGAAGGCAATGGCTTAGCGAGGAGATTAGGGCTGTGCATTGGTATCAGAATCTAATTCCAGGGTGAGCTACGTCTTGTAAATACCTTTAGCTTGGGTTACAGTCACAGGTTAAATTTCAGTATATTAGAACACAGGTTCACGCTGTTAAACTGCACAATTAAGGTTGGCATAAAAGTAAAGAGCATGACCGTGGTTGGACCATTAGACTGGACATGTGGCTCATTTAAATCAGATAACATCTCTGCTAACGGGGGGTTAAGACACTGGGGATGGAAGCACACATTTCAGTGCATTAAGCAAATAATGTGCTCAGAGGGAAAACTTGTAGACTGGCTTCTCTCCATCTGCTGACAGCCAACAAGATCCAACGCCAAGTGTCCTGCTGGGATGTTCAGATTAGAATTGAAATCGGGTACTGATGTGAACTTTTGAAAGCCTAAATGAAGGGATGAGGAAATCTGTTGAAGATCTCTCTGTGTGGGGTCTGGTTTATTGGTGGTCTGAGGCAGAAAGAAAAAGGACTTGCCTAGTTGTCAAGCCTCTGCTAATTTTCTTGATGGTGAAATGGTCTGTTTTCCTTTCAT